TAAAGTGATCAGTGAAATTTGCTTTGTGATTATTGACCAAGTGGGAGACTGTAAGACGATAACTTGTCTTACGTAAATGTGGTCTTCTAATCCTATAAGGATTTGGCAATTCACATGATCTAGGAGTGCAAACTTAAACATTATCTGCGGTTCTTTTTCTAGAGAGTGTTTTAATAAGAAAAGAACTTAGAGAATTCCTAATTCTATATGGATTGAAACACACTATCCTAATGCAATCTGGATTGCTTAAGTATTTCTTAATGGGCAGGAAACTTAAGTAAATGCATATAAATAGAGGTCCCTTCTCTATCAGTCGATATACATACTCATACAGAAATCTCACCCCATAAGAGAAAGAGCTTAAGGACTGCATAGAAGAAGAAGATCTCTATCCTACCTACTGAAGCCATGTCTGATCAAGGTTAGTATTATTGAATAAAGACTTGAAATAACTTACATCATTAGCAGGATAATTGATCCCGATTTACAAAGAATGGGCAGGAGGCATTTATGGAAATTGGTTGGCAAATAGCCAAGACTCATCTTATTGTTCCAATTGGCTCTTGAACTTTTTTTTTTTTTTTTTGGGGAGATAGGGGGGCCAAGCCCCAGGAACAACAACTAAAACAAATCAATACAAACTAGGCGGGTTCTGTGAACCCCAGCACTATCATCTGCAAGAGTTGATCTCACCCACTCAGGGGCATTATCAAAGAGATGAACTCCCAGCTCTACATTGTAACTTGACTTAGCTAAGCAGTCGGCAACGCAATTTTTCTCACGATAAATGTGTCTGACAACACAATTATTAATTTTCCCCATGTAATCCTTACAGCTGCAAATCACACCAGCAAGGGGGTGGAAATTACTGTGGCATTGTAATAAAAAAATAAATATGGCATTGTAATAAAAAAAATAAAAAAAACATTCATAGATAATTGGCATGAGGCATCATATGGGAACTAGTAGCCATATACATAAAGCATTCAGATGTCTTCAAAAGAAACTCATAAAAGTTATAAACAACTAGTGAAACAGAAAGGAGTTTCATAGTCTCCTCCACAGAGAATGATAGAAGTTAGGCAGTAGGAGTAGGAGTTTTAGTAGGAGTAGCAGCAGCAGTACCAGTAGCAGTAGCAGTAGCACTCTCAGAAGCCTTAGCGGTAGCAATAGCAGTAGCACCGGTGCGGCTGGTATCATCAGTGCTGGAGGCATCAGCGGCATGCTTCTCTACTTTGGTCTGTAACTCGTCTTTCTTGGCACCCACAACCTTGTCCACTACCTTGCCTTGCTTGAGGAAGAGAAAGGTAGGCACTGCATCCACACCCCACTTTTCAGAAACAGTCTTCAGTTCATCCACGTCCACCTTTAGGAACGTTACTTCTGGGTTCTTCTTAGCCAACTCCGCCAAGATTGGGCCGATCAACTGGCAGGGTCCATAAGACCAAGCCGTGAAACCCACCACCAGCTATTAAATTAAAGACATCAAATTAATGTATTAGTTAATCAAAGTATAAAACCAATTCCACAACCAAAATGTTAAAGGGATGGAGGACACAACCGTACACCTAGGTTTTTAAGCCATTTGCAAATTACAAAACCCCTATCTAGAGTCGAACAAAATTATTTCTATTTTGAAATGTAAGCGCTGGAATACACCCAATTCTTGCTTTTGATTTCAAAATTTGGAACTAAATTTCTAGGCAAAAAACAATTTCAATACGTTGAACAAGAAGATAAAAAAATCCCCATTGAAGCTGATCACAGAATACAAAGGGAATATTGTAAGACAATATCTTGTCTTAGCCACGAAATGAGGTCTTCTAATCACATGAGGAGTCAAGAAGTTTGTATTGATCAAGAAGTACTGCTCAAACATATCTGCAGCTACTAGTCTAAGTGCAATTTGATTAGAATACTAGAGCTTTGAGGGTTCGTAGTAGTCTCATATGGATTAAAACAACCTATCCTAATGCAATCTGGTTTGCTTAAGTGTTTCTTGATGGGCAAGACACTTGAGTAAGGTTAACTTTCTTTTTGTTTCATTTTTTTAGTGAAGAAAAAAGAGTGCAAACAAATATAGAAGTGTGATTGGAGATTTGAAAATTAAAATACCAGTTTCTTGTTCTCGTTTCCCTTATGGAGCTGCTCTTCCCATGCCTCAGTAGTGTTGCAGTGGATGACTTGATTTTCTTCAGCCATTTTTTCTTTGCTTTCTCTCTCTCATAGGATTGTGATATTCTCAAGCAAGCTAGGTATTACAAGTTGTTTTTGTTTTTGTTTTTGCGACGAATGTAATGGGCTCAGCCGCAGCGTATATATACAGCCCACAGTCGACCTTAACCAAGAGGTCAGATTTTTAATGTTTATTGCGGAAATGCCATTGCCGTTAGGTCGCTGAGGCATTCATATTACGTGACGTGACGCATACTCATATGTTGAGGGAACGTTAATAGATTTTGTCGTTTATTGAGAAAAGTCAAAATGAGCCGGACAAAGGCTCAAAGAGAACATATCATAAAGTACAAATTGTCTACGTATCCGACGCATGCATATGATATATCATACCATGTTGATCTATATGTCTACGTATACAGTACAAATTGGATGTTGAGCTGATGAGTTTTGGCATTAAATTGTTACTAGTACAATTAAGTTGGTTGGTATTGGTCCTTCTCCTTGGAACAAGACTTTTGTGTTGCAATCCCAATTCCTAAGTGAAGGACATTAATGCATTTACAATTATACTCTTTATTTTTTAGTTAAAATTTAGTTTAAAATATATAAAATCTATTTTAGAAGCTCTCTATAAAATTTTAACTCTAATCATATACTCTCTAATTTAAGGACTCATAAATGCTATAACTATTTTTTAATTGGTCCATCTCTATAAATATATATATACAGAAATTCTCTTATGTGGACATCCGGATGTTATTATCGTGCGGACGCCGTGTATTTTGTACTACCCCTCTCGGTTTTTCTACCTGTTTACAATAGGATCCGCACGATAATAACGTGCAGACATCTGGGTGACCTCCTGGGAAGTCCTCGTGTTGCATCCCTTCTTTTTTTGCCTTGTTGACGTTTCAATTGTCGTGGGCGTTTGCTTTCCGTTAGAGCTGGCAAACGGGTCGTTTTAACGGGTTCCGGGTCGTTAACGGGTTAACCCGTTTTCTTAACGGGTTGACACGAACACGACCCGTTAAGTTAACGGGTGACAAATACTAGACCCAAACACGACCCGTTACAATTCGCGAATATCCGACACGACCCGTTAACCCGTTAAGAATAAACCAGAAAAAAAAAAAAACTATCACAGCTTCTCTACCAACACGCCTTCTCTGTCTTTTTTCCCCCAAACCCCAACCCTAACTTTTCTTCCCTCTTTCCCTCTTCATTTCAGTCCTCTCACCCCAAAACAGTATATATCTCTCTCTCACAGATATCTTAAAAACTTTACAACTAAATAAATTGAGGAAGAAAGAAAATTCAAAATTAACTGAGAGAACCAAAACCAACAACTCTAGAATCAATCACCCTCTGTGGACCGACCTAGATACCTCCTCCTTGATCCCTGGTGGCTGGGTTGGCGAAGTCATCCCTGGTGGCTGGGTTGGCGGAGTCTATTGAGTGGAGAGAAGAAGAGCAGAAGAGAATCTTGACAAAAAGATAGCAGAAGAGAAAAAGAGAAGAACAGAGCAGAAGAGAAGAACGAGAGGAAGAAGAAAAAGGAAAAGGGGAAAGAAGAAAAAGACAAAAAGGTAAGAAGAAAAAGACACGGAAAGAAGAAAGAAAAGGGGAAGAAGAAAAGAAAAGAAAAATATTTTGCAAAATTACAAAATTAACCTTCTTAACGGGTGGTAACGGGTTAACCCGTTTTCGACCCGAAACGACCCGTTAGCTTAACGGGTGGCTAACGGGTTCACCCGTTTTCAACCCGACCCAATAAGCTCAACCCAAATACTGATAATTTCGTGCGAATTCGTGTCGTGTTAACGGGTCGTGTGCAATATTGCCGGGTCTAATTGTAACCACACCTCCAACTATACTCCCTATCTAGCTCCTAAAATAGGGAGATCTAGGAGCTCCTAAATCTAAGGAGAGAGAATGACTTAACTTATGAGATTTTAGTATAAAGTATACATTGACTTATTGAGGTATCAATATTGGTATAAATTGTATCTTATACTAAAATTGGATTTTCATATTTTGATTTGCTGGGAATTTGATTTTCTAGTATTATTAATTGAATCCAAATGGGGGGTACTTCCTTATTTACATTGTAAACTTAAGTAAATGGAGTAATATAAAACTAATTTAAAGTAAAAAGACAAGACATTTGTGATAAAAAAAAGCCTTTGTATAATATACTAGGTCTAACTGTTCACACTACCAAGTAGGGAAATTAATGCATGTGTCCCCAGTTCATGTGGGCTTGTTTAGTGGAAGGGAAAGATATAATAGCACTAGATAAATGAGTAAGTAACCAAAATCCTAACTAAGTAAGGACTCACCAACAATGTGATGGGTTAGCTTGAGAGAGAAAGGACATTGCCTTAGCCAATTGGTGGGTGGTGGTCTCCCACAAATCCCCCTCCTCGCCATTGCATTTGCATAACAATGTATGGGATCAAATTTTAATTCAAAGTGAAAGACTAAAGAGAAGTTTCTTTTTTAGAAGTAAGGGATCAAATTTTAATTTTAATTGCCTTTATTGTACAAAAGGAAGATACGTAACATTTGACCAAATTCTATTTTATTATACTCTTTTGGACTTTAATCTATTTGGAAAATATGTTCTCTTTGAGCCTTTGTCCGGCTCATTTTGACTTTTCTCAATAAACAAAAAAATTTATTAACGTTCCCTCAACATATGGGTATGCGTCACGTCACGTAATATGAATGCCTCAGCGACCTAATGGCAATGGCATTTCCACAATAAACATTAAAAATCTGACCTCTTGGTTAAGGTCGACTGTGGGCTGTATATATACGCTGCGGCTGAGCCCATTACATTCGTCGCAAAAACAAAAACAAAAACAACTTGTAATAACCTAGCTTGCTTGAGAATATCACAATCCTATGAGAGGGAGAAAGCAAAGAAAAAATGGCTGAAGAAAATCAAGTCATCCACTGCAACACTACTGAGGCATGGGAAGAGCAGCTCCATAAGGGAAACGAGAACAAGAAACTGGTATTTTAATTTTCAAATCTCCAATCACACTTCTATATTTGTTTGCACTCTTTTTTCTTCACTAAAAAAATGAAACAAAAAGAAAGTTAACCTTACTCAAGTGTCTTGCCCATCAAGAAACACTTAAGCAAACCAGATTGCATTAGGATAGGTTGTTTTAATCCATATGAGACTACTACGAACCCTCAAAGCTCTAGTATTCTAATCAAATTGCACTTAGACTAGTAGCTGCAGATATGTTTGAGCAGTACTTCTTGATCAATACAAACTTCTTGACTCCTCATGTGATTAGAAGACCTCATTTCGTGGCTAAGACAAGATATTGTCTTACAATATTCCCTTTGTATTCTGTGATCAGCTTCAATGGGGAATTTTTTATTTTCTTGTTCACCGTATTGAAATTGTTTTTGCCTAGAAATTTAGTTCCAAATTTTGAAATCAAAAGCAAGAATTGGGTGTATTCCAGCGCTTAAATTTCAAAATAGAAATAATTTTGTTCGACTCTAGATAGGGGTTTTGTCATTTGCAAATGGCTTAAAAACCTAGGTGTACGGTTGTGCCTCCATCCCTTTAACATTTTGGTTGTGGAATTGGTTTTATACTTTGATTAACTAATACATTAAGTTGATGTCTTTAATTTAATAGCTGGTGGTGGATTTCACGGCTTGGTCTTATGGACCCTGCCAGTTGATCGGCCCAATCTTGGCGGAGTTGGCTAAGAAGAACCCAGAAATAACGTTCCTAAAGGTGTACGTGGATGAACTGAAGATTGTTTCTGAAAAGTGGGGTGTGGATGCAGTGCCTACCTTCCTCTTCCTCAAGGAAGGCAAGGTAGTGGACAAGATTGTGGGTGCCAAGAAAGACGAGTTACGGACCAAAGTAGTGAAGCATGCCGCTGTTGCCTCCCCCACTGATGATATCTGCCCCACCCGTGATACCTACCCCACCGGTGCTACTGCTACTTCTTCTGAGAGTGCTACTGCTACTTGTACTGCTACTGCTACTTCTACTGCTACTTCTACTGATACTGCCTAACTACTATCATTCTCTGTGGAGGAGACCATGAAACTCCTTTCTGTTTCACTAGTTGTTTATAACTTTTATGCGTTTCTTTTAAGACATGTGAATGCTTTATGTATATGGCTACTAGTTCCCATATGATGCCTCATGCCAATTATCTATGAATGTTTTTATTTATTTATTACAATGCCATATTTATTTGGGATGGAAAGTTCAAGTGCCAATTGGAACAGTAAGATTATGCATTGAAATATATTTTGGAATGACAGTCAAAACCGGAGACAATCTAATCAAACCTCGAGGCAAAAGCACTTGCCTTTACTTAACAAACTATACTTTTAAAAGCCTACTTGAGGTAAAAGCACTTGCCTCTACTTAACAACTACTATACACAAACACTGTGTGAATCCAAAGACTCTAATTCTGATAGATAGAGATTAGTGAATTCAATGTAGAATCTTCATCTGTAAGTATGCCTTCTTCAAATTCGTCTTAATTCTTTGCTTCATATAGCTCTGCATGCTGTGCCTTCTTTTACAACGTCTTCATCTTGTTGGATTGGGTTGATTTGGTTGTCAGGGCTGGTCCTGAGATTTTGAGGGCCTTGTGTGAAACTTAAACGGGAGCCCTCAATCTAATATGGAAATATTTAACAAAATTTGCCATAAAATAATTTTTTTAATAACTAAAATTCATCATCTATTAGCATGCAATAGCAATCATAAATAATATTCATAAAAGTTTTAATGTTTCAATTTGAGAAAATGGAAGAGGAAGAAGACATGAACTTTTTTGTTTTTTTTTCCATTTTGAGTGGGTGAAAACATACACTCCAAATTTTTTGTTTGATTGGAGAAAGCTTGTATATATTGCTTTCCTCTTCCTTGATGTATTTCCTTCTTCTTCTTTTTTTCTTTTTTTAAATGTTGTTAACAATAAAAAAGGAGTAGAAATGTAAAAATACAACTATTGAATGACACAATATGGACTCGAATCCAACTTCCCTGCTAAAATCAAGGGGATGAATTCCAACGCAACCAAATACACACTTGTGTTACATTCTTGCACACTCAAGTATATATATAATACTACCTATAATATTAATATACATAATATACACGTAAAAAAATTTCGGGGCCCTATGCGTTGGCACCACTTGCACACCCTCAAGGCAGCCCCTGTTGGTTGTAATTCCGGTTGAACAAACAACTTCAACTGATAGCCGCTTGAGTACATTCGAGCATGGATCTGTCCCGAAGATGCTATTCGATACAGTAACTAAGCAACTCTCACGGCCGATACAATTCTGCAAAACACGTTAAGAGATATTAGCAAATCTGTATTTATCAAAAGAATATGCATCTGCTTACAAGTACAAGAGGTGAAAAGATTGTAGTTCACTCCACAATGGCATGAGAGTTGGTCGCATGACACGTTCCTTGGTGGAAACTCCCACAAGTTGCAGTAGGTAGGAGTTCCAAAACTTGCAAACTTAATGCTTGAGATAGACTGCCCTGGCACACACTGCAGATGAAGCTGGGCCATGGTGAAGCGTTTTCAATTCTTCATGGCTGTGTCGATATCAAAATTTTCCTCGTTTGGGTGGTGTTCTTGTAAATCAGCACAAACCCCTGTCACTGATCTCTTCACCATGGTTATCTTTGATGGATCCCCACCGAGTTGCTCAACTACTACCACCAGATTTTGTGTTGGCTTTAACCAAGACCGAGGAACATGGTACCTGGAAAAGATGATCAACAAATTGTTTGATGACCATAAGGGTTTTCATCTTGCAGAAATTTTTGAAGTTTTAGTAGTTTATGAGGTAATACCATTGTTGAGTTGGTTGGCCACAGCCAAGTTGACACTTGGTAGGCCGGAATGTCCCGACGTAGCTACACAAACTACAGTCACCATTGGCGTAAGCCATCCAGTATCTGCCTAGCTCTGGCCGTTGATCCAGACTTGACCCTTTCCCGTGCTCCGCATGTCCAAAGCCAATGGCTCATCTCCTCCAGGTGCACTAAAATAAGCCTGCACAATCCAAGCTAACATTCATTTTAGCCTGTGAAGCCTAAGACTTCACTAGTTCTTATCACTTAATAGCCAATAAGGTTTTCCTCCTCTGTCTCCTCCTTGTCTTTCCTCTCTCCCTCATTATCTTGAAATGCTTACCTTATACCATTTCAACGTCTGTTTGGTTCGAGTAGCTAGTGAACCTTGGATCCAATCAACCGATGACCCTCCAGTTAGAGAGACCAAATCCATTGCTTCTCCTTTAAGGCCAACCTGTTTGGAAGATTTTCCTATGAGATTAAAACCACCGAAAAAAGGAAGAAGAAAAATAGAGATGGAGATAATAGTAAGTGGCCAAAATGGACAAATGTAGATGGGGTCGTTGTCTGACCTTGTAGAACCACTTTTGCATTGTTAAGTCTTTCCTTCCCTCCAAGAGCATCCAGAAAAATTGGACCCAGGATTCCTGTTTTCCAGAAAAACTTAGAAAAATGGATGCAATTCAACCACATAATTTAGGATCAATTTAGGTCTTTAGCATAGGTTGTAAGAGCACTTCCACCCATTTGCCATGGCAAAGGGCAAGGGGAGGCAAGGGCTGTTACTATTCCCGTAAATAGTGATTGGCCTTGTAAAAGGCTTGTGGTGTTTCCACCCATTGCCATGGTAACCACTATTCACATGAGATGTGACACTACTACAAAAAACGAAATAGACGACGGGAATTCACCGTCGTTGTAATACTTTGAAAACCGTCGTTAAATCGACAGTCGTCTTTTGGAGTATCAAACTACGACGGCTTTTCACCGTCGTTGTTTATGTGTAAAGACGACGGTTTTTAAAAACCGTCGTTATTTATGGTAAAAGACGACAGTTTTTGTTTAAAACCGTTGTAATTTATGGGTAAAAACGACGGTATTGTGTTGAAAATGGTCATTAATTATATGCACAGACGACAGTTTTTCCAATAAAACCATCGTTTTATTATCTTTAAATATGTCGTCTAATAAGTTCTCAACCTTTTACATTTTAGTTTTTTGTTTCCTATGATTCTATACAATGATTGTAACTAGAAAACCAATTATAATGCTTTATTAACAAATATATGCACTCAAAAATTATTTCTTTCATAAAACTTGAAGATTCAAAAGTAATTACATAGTCAACCAATCTTTATTCTATTGCACACATACTTCCTACCAATAAATTAAAATAAAGGAGCTCACAAATTCTACTAATTTGATCTGAACTTTATCAATTTGTTCTTGGGTTGACATAGCTCTGCCTTCTTGCACATTTTCCAAGTTGTTGTATTCCCCTCCCCTGTAACAATATCAGCAACAGCAAGCCCTTCTACAAGACTTGCAAAATTAACATCAAACTCCACAAACACAAATCTTACTTCAACAGTCATGTTGTTTTTGTCCATGCACAGTGCATCTTGTGTGAGCTGCTCTGAGAAAAGATAACCATAAACAAAGTGTTCCTGAAAATAACAATAGGGATAAAAAGCAGAGCCAAAGTAAGAGAATGGGTTTAACTGAACTACTCCAATTATCTATAATCAATACCTAAATCCAAACCTATAACCCATACCAACAGAAGCAAATCTGAACTCAAAAACAAAGATTCCTTTAATTCTTTTAAAGAAACATACATATATATGGTAACAGCCATTCTCTGTGGCCATTTCAGCCACTTCTTCTTTCTCCAATCTGCCAAACTAAAGTGTATTAGAATTGCTTTGAGTATTTTAAGTAACCCTTTTCTTGATGATCTGATAATTGCTTTTAGTTCGAGCTTTACCAGTGAGATGGTCCACCAAAGAGCCATTTGAGATGTTCTCAAGAACAATAAATACAATGCTAGTTGTAGTTAGATGGTCCTGATAAGTGACAGTGCAGTGTCCAAGAAGGCTGACCAAATGCCTACTCCTATAAACATCTCTTTAGATTACAATCTCTGTGGGAATGACCCTTGCTTGCTTACTATACTATCATTTGATTTGTGCACTTGCAAGGTTTTAATATTGTTGTTAAAAATTACCAACACCAACCTTTGTAGACCTGTAATGTAAATATTGCACATAAATAATGCTATCAAGTTGATGAACAATAATGTTGGCTCAATCAAATAATGCATTCAAAGTCAATAAACAGCACAAATTCAATGTTAATACCAGTCCCTGAGATCCTTCTCCCATCAAATTCGGGCATCGAAATTGTTTGTTGCATCATCAATTTCTTCCAATGTAAATACACGATATGGTGGGAGCCCAAGTGTTGGCAACCTCATCATATGGGGCACACGCCCTGAAAAATCCAAATCAATATAATCAGCTTCAATGCTTCACGAACTAAAAACCATAAAGCATGCATCTTTGTTTTCTATTTTTTTTTTTTCAGTCATTAAAATTAGAGACTTTCAAAGGAATTAGGGAAACAAAGAGGGCCTTACTTGCATTGATGTTAGGCTTTGGGGAGCTTCGAATGGAAATTTTCTCAACCATGGATATGTTAAATTTATCTTCTCTGTTCCTCTGCCTTGCCTTGCTCTTTTGATAATGACCAAAATTAGCAACCCAATGACTGCAGCCGCACACACAACACGAAGAGAATACATAGAGAGAGAGAGAGAGAGAGAGAGAGAGAGAGTATCTTTTAAAATCCAAACGTAAAAAATCTTGATTATAAAAAATCTTTTAAGTCATTACATTCCTAAATAGTCTTTTAAAATCCACTGGACTTATTTATCCATAAATAGTCTTTTAAAATCTCAATTGAATACACCCCACTAAGATAACTCCTAGAAAAGTAGCTTCGTACCTTTCTGGTCCACGAGGAAGAAGATCTAATCTAAAGCTTATGAAATGGAAGATGGGGGCTTAAAAATGGTCGTGATGAGGAAGGGTAGCTTCCATGGGCAGCGCGAGGGAGATGACGAACACGGCAAGATCGGTGACCTGAACGGCTCGACGGAGATGGCGATCAAGGCAAGTTCGGTGGACGGCGCGAGGGAGATGTGCTTCATAGATGTGAGAAAGGGTTTTCTTCTGAAAGGTCTTGATGTAGTACAGTATTTGAGAGAGCGTGGGTTTTCTGAAAAGCTCCGCGCTCGCGAACTTAAAAGTTAAATTTTGTTTAGCGCCTCCTAAAAACACGACGGTTGAAATAAGGTATCGTCGTAACTTTATAAATTAACCCAAAGCATCAGCGTATTAGGCACCTTATCACGACGGTATTATAACACTCGTCATCTTTTAAAATACCACGACAGTTTTTATATAAACGGTTGTCTATTGGGTGTCGTTGTTTAACATAATTGTAGTAGTGTGAGGAGAGGAATTTGTATAGAGTTTTGGTGTGGGAAGTGAAGAATATGACTAAGTATTTATTTAAAAAATTCTTAAATTTTTAGTATTTTTTCATATATATATATATATATTCTTTCTTTTTCTTTTTTTTCTTTTCTGACGTCAGCAAACCTAGGCAACAGCCCAGGCTATTCTTGCCTTTGGGCTGCCCTGGTTTGCTAGGACCCACAAGCTCCCGGGGCTGTAGAAGCCCGCTGGAATGTCAAATGGGGGCTTGGGCCCCTTATTGCCTGGGTTGGAGGCGAACGCTGGAAGTGCTTTAATGGGGCTAAGGTGAGTGAGAAATGAAAAGTATGGATAATACAAAGTTCAAGGAACTCACAATGTAAGAGCATACAAGAATTGATTACAAGACTTCGAATCATCATGCTTAGATATATATTCTTTATTTTTTTTAACATTAGACCATAAAGCCTTATACCTCCATTTATTTTGATTAACATTCCTCTCTTCCATTTAAACAACCGCCAATTTACTTTTAAGGCCAATAAAGAAAACCAAAAATGAATTTTAAATCAACTGCCATTTAACCACTACTTTTTTTCTTTCACCAATTGAGTGGATTTGTCTCTTTCTTCTTTTTTTTTCAATATGTAAGACCCCTTCCCAAACTTAGCCTGAAAAACACATCACAATTAAAGCTCATGAGTTCCCTAGAAAGGTAAATACTTATTTTTTAGGCTAAGACGAGGAGATATAATTGGCTAAATGAAATAGAAGGCTTACAAGTAGGCTCAAAGTGGTTAACAATGGAACATCATGCTTAAGCGAAGGTTAGCTTGAAAGGCTCAAACGATCCAAAAAAGGCCTTAACATCATGTGATTGTAACCTACCTTATGACTCACCAATTATGTGTATGACCACCTAATATGTGACTCACCAATGATGTATATGACCACTTATGGTAGTAAACTATGTAATTCTTATGCACTTAAATAGGCACCAAAGATGAATGAAAAACACACAAGAATAGAAGAGAATAAGCTTAAGATTGAGCTCTGGATAATTAAGGTTTCTCTTCCTCTAAATTCTCTTCTTAATTTCCTTAGTTTTATAACACATATAAGTAGTAGGTGGTACCTTGGACCCAATTTGGGCAATAGAGTCAAGAACCGTGATGGCCTCAATGAACTGGCCATTCTTGCAGAGATAGTTTAAATGAGTGTCTGTGAATTTTGGGAGAGTTTTCCTGGAGAAAGAGATTATGGGTTTGGTGTGTCTTAGTGAGAATTCTGATGGGTTGCCAAGTTTGGAGGGTAGAATAGGTGTGGTAGGGCTTGATTTGCATGGGATTGTAAAATTCTCGATTGTTGAAAGTCTGAAACTTTTAAGAGATTCCCCTTTCTGGGGGTGCTCTTTTCAGTTCATGGCCTGGTGTTAGTATGAAAATTGGATTGTCATTTCCTAGACTCTAGCATAGGTTGAAAATTAGTTTGTGAAGAATTGTTACTAGACGTTTTGGCTCAACTCTTTCAACCACATACTTCCGAGGCATGACTTGACCATATGAGAAACTTGACAACAGGTAAATCATGACATAATCATGCATTCATTATAGGATTCCTAGTTGGACTCTATTTTGATTTAAGTTAAAATATTATCTTTTCCTATTATGACTTGCATGTTGAAATCATCTCCTACTTGATTGGTCTAATTCATTTGTTTTAATAGATATTATTTTTCTATTAAAAATTGGCTAATTGGCTTTTTCATTAAGAATCCATATTGAATCAAAACTAATAGTCATAATTGAATAACATTTGTGGTCCTGTTTTGACGTCCTTACTATGAGTTTATATTGCATCAAGTTTTGGAGTTATAGTTTAATAGGTTTGCTGTGAGTTCATATTGCATCAGGTTTGGAGTCATAGTTGAAGAGGTTTGAAAGTCATTGTTGAATTGAAATAGTAGTCTCGTGGGTTTCTCTCTTTTGAGAGAATACCTGCCTTGAATAAAAGGTTGTGTTTTCTTTTTCAAAAGGTAGCTTTTCTGATATTTTGTTTAAGCATCTAAAATTCCTAAGAAATCTGTTGTGCATATATTTGAGATAAATCATCAAGTGTTCCATATTTACTTGGTGATTTATCAAACACTTTAATTATTCATATTGCATTCATTTGCATTGTTCGGTGACTCATACGGTTGAGGGCACAAAGACCGTGGTGACGGTTTTCCTCCGGCGAGCTTGAAGCAATCGTGACCAGTATTGTGTTCAACATAAGGAGTATCAAAGATCATCCCGTGACAGAAGTTGAGTTACGAAGAAGTCGGTAAACATTATCCAGAATGTGTCTAGGATAAGTGTGTGAGTACTTCTTATAATCATCATTCTATAGTGGATTTGTGTTGGACTAGGGAGTCCCGTGGATTTTCCCTAGAGGTGGGGTTTTACCACGTAAAATAATTCTCTGCGTATTCCTTTGTTTTATGTTCAATATGTTCTAGGATTGATAAGCCATATCAATCCTGCTACCAAAGTTTATTTTTATTTATTTGACCCCCTCTAGGCATATATAGACATCCTACAGGTATTTTCACACTTGGAAAGCGAGGTTGAATCAAAAATTGAAGATTGCACGGTTGTAAATGTGGAAAATGGAAACCAAATTGCAACGGATAGAGGGAAGGAATGACTCGCTGCAGTGGTTTGCTCTATCATGCTAAGATCTAGCCAGTAATATCTCGCCACGTTTAAGCGGGGAGGGCATTGGTCAAAAAGTTGACGGCCAGGATGTCATTACAAGTGGACGGCTTACATATGTATAAAACGAAGTTGTAGCGTACAAAAATAAAAAATAAAACTAGTACAGAAATTGCTAATCCTGGAATTTCATATTAGGAAAAAGACACTCAGGAGGAATAGAAATTGTACGACAAAAGCTTGTTATTTATTTATTGCTGTGTGAGCTCCAATTATAGCACTGAGACTGAGACATATTGATCAGAATTTCTTGAAGAGAGAGACCTTGGAGGTTTTCTGGCCACTTCCCAGCCAATGTTGCATATGAACTCCAATGGCATCCAAATACAAGCTGCTCTTGCCATGCAAGCCCACCACCTTGCCCTCTGTGGTAGTTGAAGTGAAAAATGTCCCAACTTCTTCCCCAAATGGACCATACTTGCCTCTGCTGGTATAAAATGTCAAAGACTTAATAATTTGAGGTCGCTCGTTTTTACTAATGCAACCATAATACCCAGATATACAAGTCAGCACTTCATGAGGATACTCCAATTTAATCTGCAAAACAAATTGATCAAGTAATAATTTGTTAGATGGACACATACAAATTGAGATTAAATTCACTTGATCAAGATGTTAATTTTAATTATTACTCGATGTGGGGTAGTTCCTCCATTGCCTCCGTGCTTAACGGACCAAATGAATTGACCGTTTCGATCATACTCAATCTGCACTGAGCAAATGCCCTCTGCTGCTCTTGTCAAATGAATCTGCCTAATCCCAGAAAACACTCCATCATCCCATGCTCTGCCTCCATCTCCACCCCATGGCCCTGGTCCACATGGGGTTGGCTCTTTTATCACCCCACAAGCAACCTGGCCAGAATTACCTATCCAATCAGCACATGTATAATCTTTGTATTATCTACTAATATATACGCATGGAATTAGATTAAACTTAATTACCTCTTCAACTTTTCCTCTGTTTGTCATTAGCAGCTTGTTAGACCAGTGAGGATTGTCTACCTGTTTGATGGCCCCTGCAGGCTCCTTTGGGATGATTGCAGTGCAATTATTAGGAGTATTTGTGACAGGTGGTGTCTGTTTCTCAGTCTCGACATTGACCTTCCCTTCTGTGGCATGCACCCCAAGAGCATCTAAGAAGAGACCCTTCCTCCCATGAATTCCAACAATCTTGCCTTCCTTAAGCTTGGTGGTGAAAGGGGTTCCTTGTTCTTCTCCATATGGCCCGTGCTTCTTCTTCGTCGTGTGGAAAGTGAGGGACTTAATCACATTAGGCCCCATAATCATGGCAGCCCCAAATGTTCCCGTTATGTGCGTCAAGATTTCGTTTGGAAAATCAAAAACTATCTGCACATATATAGTGTAAAACAAAACATTGCAAGTGAACGTTGACGTGTATTCAAATCAAATGAAAAAATAAAAATAAAAAACAGCTACCATAATCAATATATAGTGTAAAACTATACTTAATTTCAGACAAATTTCACCTTGTCACTTTTATAACCTCCAGTCCCGCCATGTTTGGCTCCCCATACAGCTTCACCGTCGCAATCATACTGAACCCTTATGTATATTACAACTCCCACGTTTCTTGATAACTTGATTTGTCTAACTCCTGAATAAACTCCATCATCAAATGCAAAACCACCTGTCCCTCCCCACGGACCATACGTTACCACCCCTTCAGCAGCAATTGGGGGAACCTTCTCAATACTTGGCGTCTAAAATGAAGAACTTTATGTTAATGCACATTTTCAAATTGAAATAACCTAGAACTTGTAAAGGCAAGTTTCTCTTACCTTGAACTTGGTTTCTACATCACTTAATTCTCCAGAATTAGAAAATTGCATTGAGAGCTTATTGTTGGGTACTGGTACTGCAGCTGGGTTAGTAGTGTAGTCATCCTTGGGTCTTATGGCAAAAAACACATCACAGTTTTGGAGGACTGAGTAGCCGGCAAGGTTCTGATCAGTACCACCAATCATATAAGACTGTGTTTGAAGCGTAGTTTTTGAGGGCTGGTTTTGATCATTCTGAATAGGCTTTAGGTAAGCTCCTATTGAATCAAGATACCAACCAGACTTGCCAAAGAACCCAACAATCTTGCTACTCCCAGCTCTTGCCGCTGGGAGAGAAAAATAGGTTCCTTGTTCAATTCCAAATGGTCCATAAGTTTTTTTGTTGCTCTTGAATTTAAGTGATCGAATTGAGACCGGTCCCCATTCACTAATCTTACCATAATGCCCCTCAATTGAAGTTAAAAATTCTTCCGGATAAGCAAGCTTCACCTGCAGTAGTAAGAAGTAGACAAAAAATTTGCAAAAGGTTATGTGATTAGCTAGCTTTAATTAATCATGTCATGTACTCTATGGGATTAATAAAGTAATGATGACTTGGTAATGAAGTAACCGTGTCTGTTTTCCAGCCTCCATTTCCACCATGCCTCTCAGCCCAAAATGAGGTCCCTTTCTCATCATATTCAACCTGAATGGAATCAATGGCCGCTCCATGAGCTATCACCAACTGCTTCACCGTTGAGTAAACTCCATCTTCCCAAATGAGCCCGGTTTGGCCTCCCCACGGCCCAACTGATACCAGTTTTTTCTCGGATCCCTCAAAAGTACTCTGCCACCATGCATTAGTATAGTAGTCAGTTCAGTTGTAATTAAGTGCTGAGTGTAATTAAGTTGAAGAACAATAACATGAATGAATTAGACAAAACAAAGAGTTACCATTTTGGTGCAGTGAGCAGAGCGGGTGAGCGTGAGAGTGTGGAGGATGAAATTGAATGTTGCAGTGTGAAGAAGGGATGGGTGAGCTAGGAATTTATACAAACAAAAAGGATGCGTTAGGTGTGAAGGTGCATGAATTAAGGGAAATAATTTATTTATAGGTGGCTTGGACTGTGGAGAGGAAGAAGCTAATTCTCTTCTCCACTATGGAGGGAGCTAATGGCTTCCAAGTTAAAGAATCAAATGATTGCTCAAAATATCCCTTGTGCCTCATAAGAAATAGAAAAAAGAGTCTTATCTCTGGCTAGCTTTTAAGCATTCGTGACGGTCTGGAATTTTTCCCATACATTTTCTGCAACGAATTCAAATTGGGAGACAGAAGATTACGCAGTAACTCCTTTATTCGGAATTTTCGAATATATATATTACATATATCTTTGTTGCATGGCATATATCATGATCAGTTGGACATCCATAGAGTTTTAGACACGTACGTACATTTCCCATCAGTGTTCATTCGTCATAGGTTTTTTTAAAAGGAATTTCTTCATAATTTTTAAACAGGAAAGAATCTTGAATTGGGCCTTTTAGAATTTAAGAGAAAGGACATTCCGATTCGGGCACAACATAAAAAAGTAAGTAGCTGAGGCCCAATGATAAGTTTTCTGATTTTAGCCCATGTATTTTTTTATTTTAAAATCACCTTAAAAGAAAAAGAAAGGTGGAAATAATTAGTAAGAGTAGCGATGAAAGTGGGATTTGATGACTCCAGAACACGGAAAAACCAAAACCTGGGACAGCTAAATGCTTGGTTGGTCCGCAGCACCGACGTAAACGGAACGGAGATCTAGCTAGCTAGCTAGCCACCAAATCGCAAATTCACATGTAGACGGAAGAAACAAACGGCCATGAATGGTGGCTCGTTACACGCTTCTAAACTCATTTATTTGGGGACCCACATTCCCATAAACTAAACTCTCTAGTCAAGTAGTGCACCATCTGTCCTCCGTCCTTGTTTCTTTTCCTTTTTTTAATAAATCATTCATAATCTTCTTTTTCCTTCTTTTTCTTTGTGTCCTTGAGTAGACAAAGTTGTATGGTTCTTTTTGTACGAAAATTGAAATGGCGATTATCTTTAGTTTGATTTGAAATGGAAGGTATCAAATCCCGCTTAAACAAATGGGTTTAGAGAGTTTAGAATGATCAATCAAAACGTCCACAGTTGCAAAAGTTGAAACAGTTGAAACAGTTGCATGTGAAAAAAGATATAAGTCATTTCTTTAAATATGATTGATTTCATGCTTGTAATTTAAGTAAAAAGCTAACCCCCATCATCTATCTGCAAAACAAACATTATATATTTTTTACGGATTGCCAATTTCCAACAATTTAACCTTGAATATTATATATGGTGCCTTAAACATAAGGATAAGGGTACCTCCCCTATTAAATGAAGAGTGAAAATGAAGTAAACTCTGTGCTGGTTGCATAATTGCATATATGCATTGCCTTGCCTTGCCTAAACAAGGAGAGAGAGAGAGAGACTCAAAAGCTATGGTTGGGGTTTTTATTACAGAAAAAGCAACCCAACCCAACCCCAGGAGGAGTTTTATGTACAGACTACAGAGAGTCAATGAGTGGACCAATGTCAAAGAATTCACAATATTCGATCGAACAAAGCAATGGCCCCCTCTGTCTGTCTAGTCTTCTCTTCTGGCTCCTCCTCCATCGACCTCCTTTCCTTTTCCCCTTTTGATTTTGAATATTTGTGGTAGACAGGTAGAAAATAAATATTCATTATCTCTGAGTCTGAGTGCTTCTGAGGTGACGGTGCATATATATATATATTCACGTGTGTGTGCCCAAAATATATAGTTTGGTTAATGATAGCAGAAACACATGTCACATGGCCTACGACCCAATGGGACATATATATAAGACAAGGCTTTGCTTACTCACAGACAGACTCACAGACTTACAGGCAAGCATATTACCATATATATATATATATATATATGTATAAATGATTGATGAAATGGGTTTCGGGTAGTTGGTTTGCACTGTGCAAGCAAACAAAGCAAAGAGCACAATTGATGAATCGAATGGGGGATGATGGGGTCCATTTCTGGATCAAAGCATGAGAGCTGCTTGTTTTACATGCTTTTCAAAAGCATGTGGTTTCATCATGAACCTGCTCCACCTCACAACACAACTACTGAGATTTAGAGACTCATTAATTTCTATTTAATCAATTCAAAATTAAATTGTTTAGTAACAACCTGACGTTCATTTTTTTTGGCAAATTTAGTCAATGTAAGAAGCTTTTGTTTCTTTGAATTATCTTGTTTTTCGGTTCCCTGAATTTTGACTGAACCGACAATTAAAAGTCACATTTTTTATTTTCATATCATTGATTAAATCCAACCTTCCACCTCCAACCTGACACAATCATATATATATTAAAGTAGTTAACAGTAAGAATCATACAGCTATTTGAACCATTTTTTCGGCCCAGCAGAGTTACTGTCAGTGTCACTCTGTCACTGCAGAGTTATAGATCAGAAGCCCAGAGCTTCATTCTCACTTTGCCTTTCCAAACATTTCCAGCATTCTAAAGCTCTCTTTTCAAATTTCCCTCCACATATCAGACATGGAAACTCATTTGGTTTCCAAGCTCTTAACTCTGTTCTTGATGACCTTGTTTATGAGTTCTGAGCTGATCCAATGCACCACCGTCACCTACGATAAGAAGGCCATTATCATCAATGGCCAGAGAAGATTACTCATTTCTGGCTCAATTCACTATCCCAGAAGCACCCCTGAAGTATTTTCACTCTCTCTCTCTCTCTCTCTCTCTCTGTGTCTTTCATTCTGTTACTCTGTCTTTTAATAGGCCAAAATCATAAAAATGTGATTTTTGTGACTTTTCTTTTGGTGATCTCTGTGAAATGATGAAATGGGTTTTGGAGCAGATGTGGGAAGGTCTTATACAGAAAGCTAAAGATGGAGGCTTGGATGTCATTGACACCTACGTTTTCTGGAATGGTCATGAACCTTCTCCTGGCAATGTATTCTTCATCTCCTCTGTGTCAGAGTTCTATTACGTTCCAATTTGTCTACTTTTGCTGTCGCTTCAATTTTGAAACTTTTGCCTAATTCCGTCTCTGAATTTTTTCCCTTTTTATTTTGATCTTTAGTACAATTTTGAGGGGAGATACGATCTCGTACGGTTCATAAAGACAGTACAGAAAGCAGGGCTCTACCTTCATCTGCGCATTGGACCTTATGTTTGTGCAGAGTGGAATTTTGGGTACGGTACATCTTCTTCTAATTATTTAATTATTTTTGTTTTTGTTAGAGTTATTATATTTGAATTCTGTCTGCTACAGTGCACTGCGGAGTAAATGCTACATATCATAAATTTATTATTATTTTCGTTTTTGGTTTAGTTGCATATATTTCCTAACTTTAAGTTGAGTGCTAAATTCGACTCTCATTTGTACAGAGGATTTCCGGTTTGGCTGAAATATGTCCCTGGTATCAGCTTCAGAACAGATAATGGGCCATTCAAGGTATTTCTTCCTGAAATTCTCTACTGAAAACCTTCGGATTTTGTTAGAATGTCGTCAAATTAGAGCTAATGTGGAAAACTTCTCTTCTCTCTGTTTTTTTCTTGGGGGAAGATGGCAATGCAAGGGTTCACCCAGAAAATTGTCGAGATGATGAAAAATGAGAAGCTGTTTGCATCACAAGGTGGTCCCATCATCCTTTCCCAGGTACTGATTCTTGATGCATGGCCTTGTAACTATTTGAGTTCAATGAATTCTTCTAGGATAAATAATTCATGAATTCTTCTTTATGTTTTGTATTGTGCAGATTGAGAATGAGTATGGGCCAGAGAGCAAGGCACTTGGAGCTGCTGGTCATGCCTACATTAATTGGGCTGCCAAAATGGCTGTTGCATTGGATACAGGAGTTCCATGGGTGATGTGTAAGGAAGATGATGCCCCAGATCCTATGGTTAGCCATCTTGTTCTTTTCACTTTTCACATCTGCTGATCCCATGACACTCCGATACCTAGAACTAGAACCCTTTCTTGAATATCAAAATTGACATTTAGTTACAAATTATTGCTTCCATTCTCCCATTTCTTTTTAGGCTTCAGCATTTGAAACACTGAGTTTCATCTACTTATATCTTGGTGACAGATAAATGCATGTAATGGTTTTTACTGCGATGGCTTCTCTCCCAACAAACCTTACAAGCCTACCATGTGGACCGAGGCTTGGAGCGGCTGGTAAGTGGATCTTTAGCTTACCAATACTCATAAGTTGACTGACTGTATTCAAATTTATTCTTCTAATATCTGTAAACCCAACAAACATGATCAGGTTTACAGAGTTTGGCGGCACAATTCACCATCGACCTGTTCAAGATTTGGCATTTTCAGTTGCTCGCTTCATACAGAAGGGTGGCTCATATATTAACTACTACATGGTTGGTTTGCTTGTTAATCAGATCAAGTTTTAAAGACTAAATTGTGCCAGCCCAAATTTTGAGTTTCACTGTTTATGGTTTGTGACAGTATCATGGAGGAACCAACTTTGGACGCACTGCTGGAGGCCCATTCATTACAACCAGTTATGACTATGATGCTCCCATTGATGAATATGGTAAAACCTTTAGTTCAATTCCATTATGAAAGGTTGTGAATTTGTTGGCACACATGGCATTTCAGTTTCGATCTTAAGCTCTTACTCAGAACTAACTAACTAACTGTTGCCAGGTTTGATCAGACAACCTAAATATGGTCATCTGAAGGAGCTTCATAAGGCGATCAAGCTTTGTGAACATGCTTTAGTTTCTTCAGATCCTACTGTTACTTCATTAGGAACCTATCAGCAGGTTTGGCTTCTTCAATGCGATACTTTCTTCTGTCAGTGGCACAATTTCCTGAAAGATTTACCTTATTGAAAAAGAAATACATATCTTGGTTATCTTCCAGGCTTATGTATTCAATTCAGGACCAAGAAGATGTGCAGCTTTTCTCTCAAACTTCCATTCATCAGGAGCAAGGGTGACTTTTAATAACATGCACTATGATTTGCCTGCTTGGTCAATTA